GCGTGGGTTTTCTGCGGGTACTCCGGTTTCCTCCCACAGTCCAAAAAACATGACTGTTAGGTTAATTGGTCTGTCTAAATTGCCCCTAGGTGTGTGTTTGCTCATGGTTGTGTGTCTGTGTTGCCCTGCGACAGACTGGCGACCTGTCCAGGATGTACCCCGCCTCTCGCCTGGAACGTTAGCTGGAGATGGGCACCAGCTCCCCTCCCGACCCCACCGAGGGACAAGGGTGTTCAGAAAATGGATGGATAATAATAATAATAATAATAGCAGCAAAGAAGGTAATGTGCATTAAAGCAGATTTGTTGTATGCCCTTAAAATAACAAAAGTGAAAAAAATCTAATGAACCTCCAATTCTGCCTCTCAAAGCAGCAGCCATTATCGTTCAAACGACTGAAATATCTTTCTTTGCAGCAAGAAAAATTCATGACGTTTTTTGTCAAATTCAGTTATTCTTCACGTAAAACTTCCATTAGGATTCATCAGTAATGCCCAGAGAGAGGTATTAGTCAGCTCTCAGGCCTGGCTGTTTCAGAAAGGTCAGGAAATTTGTCTCTTCCTCAAGTGTATTTTCTCTTCTGTGGGTTTCTGAGGAACACTGAGTCGTGGTGTTAAAGCCATGCTGCAGCCTCCACTCCATCATGGCAGACACCTCAATCTGTTTTCACCATTTGCCTTTTTTTTTTACCCACGTTTACAGCAACATAGGTTTTCAATACTAATCAGTCACTGCTCCTTTTTGCTTCATTCATCACTACTTCCTTCTCACAATTTTCTCTTTCTTCTTCATCCTTCTTCCTGTTACCAGTACAGTTACCTGGCTTTTCTCGATGTTTAACTTCTTCATGTGGTCATGCCTCTTTCTTCTAGTAAGGAGAAGACTGATCTCTCCTGGCATTTTTCCTCTCTTTAACATTCTTTAGACTTGTTATTCTCACCATTCCTGTTTCCATTTTCCTCCTCATTTTTCATCTCCATCATTCTTTAAAGGGCTAAATGGTGCCAGATGCTGTTAATCTGCTGCTCTGATTGTGCAGTGCATGCATGAATGATATCCAACCGTATTCCTAATATCCTCTTGCTTTGGGTCATGGCTTTAATCTTTGCAAATGGAAGGTGATGAATACCAGGGGCCAGTTAAGCATTTTGTAAATTGCATCATTATGGAATGAAATGGGTATTTCAGAAAGAGATTCATTTTTTTGTTTTCTGTGAGGTTTCATAAAATTTGTGTCGTTTTCCTTCAAAAGTTGTTTAACCCATTACAAGTCAATAAAGCATTCAATTACACGCTATTTCATAATGTACACCCGTTCAATTGCCTGTTCATAGAAATCAGTCACCATAATGTATTCTGGCATCTGGACATATGGAAGGTGATTTACTGAAGATTAAAGCAAGGATCAAAATGAGGGAAAAGAGGGATTTACACTACTTTGAACAGGAATCATCAATATTACAAGACAGTCTGGTCTGAGTACTTTAGAAACTGCTGATCTAAAGTAATCTTTAAATTAACCATTTATAGAGAATCAAACAAAAAAAAGAAAAAGATGTCTAGTGAGTGGCAGAGGAGAATGAATAGTCTGGTTTGAGATGATGTAAAGACAACAGTGCTTTAACTAACTTGTACAGAATATCATCTCTGAATGCACAAGACGTAAAACCTTGAAGCAAATGAGCTACAGAGAAAAAACACACCAGTAATCATGCCTGCCGCTTAAGAACAACACACCATGGCCTCACCAAAACTGGGCAATACCACATTGGAAAGACATTACCTCCTCTGATGAGTCTGGATCAAGCCACAACATTCAGATAGTGGAGTCAGAATCTAGTACAAACAACATAGCAACATTCCTCCCTTCTGGATGAAACCTAGAGTACTGTAGCATCTCAGGATCATTGCCTGAACTCCACACCGAACCTACATGTTGTCTCTCACCATGTTCATCCCTTAGAGACCACAGTGTGCCAGATTTCTGATAGCTATTTCCAACAGGAAATAGCTGCTGATAGCTATTTCCAACAGGAAATAGCTTCTGCCTGTCACAAAGTTCAGACTGTCTTATGAGCAGCAGGCAGAGGCACGAAAAGTCCGCTGTACAACGCCCTCACCAGACTCCAATCCAAGAGAGCCCCTTTGGGATATGAGATGGTGGAATGGGGAGATGTGTAGCTGACAAATGTGCAGCGACTGTGTGATGCTGTCATGTCAGTAGGGACCAGAATTAGCTTGCGAGTGCATAGCATTGTGCAAATATCTAGAAGACCTCCCTGTAACACCTTGGTGGGGTCTAGTTCATAAGGCTTTTACAAGGTCTAAAAAAAACACAGAGGGGATGTTTACTATTGATATCAGGAAACGTTGTTTCCTGTAGCAGTTTTCGCTGTAAAGCCACATAAGAGCTCATGTTAAAAACCATTGGCATTCGAACTAGAGCTGCTTGCCACAGTCAGTTGATATACAGATGATATTTTACAGATATGTCAACAAATACTTGCTCACAGGGAGTGGATGTTTTTCCTAATAAAATTGGCAGGAGAGCTGGCACAAAAACAGAAAAACTATATTACTATCTTTGTAAAACTCTTGTGGTAACTGTTTAACAAGGGCTTACGAGGGGGTTTAGATTTGCAAATGAATGTGCACGGACTAAGAAAAAAACATAGGCAGCTGTCTTCTTTGCCTGTGGCTCCTGCATGAAGTAATTACTTGCTGCTGTGCAGTTTATCTTAGATGAACATCTTGATATTTTCCCCCTATACTGTCTTCACCGTTTTAGCTCCCAGCTCCCTTAAGACTCTTCTGCTTAGTGATTAATAGCTTAAAATATCGCATTGTGTGAACTATACCCATTGTACACCGCCCCTAACAGAATCACTCATATGTATAGGTGATTAAAACGAGAGTGACAGGTGTGTGTAGTGAAGTCCCGGCTCTCCATTAGTTTAATTAAATTACCTTAATCTGATATATGCTATTTTGAGCCAACACCCAATTATATACGTTCCTTTTGTTTCTGGCTCAAAGCAATGGAAGACGGGGTTTTTTTAATTCATTTATTTTCCCTTCCTTTCTCCAGTATACACAAAACCAAAAACAAGCACCTGTTTCTGCAAGGAGAAAGTCATTTGAAGCAACATTGACTGTCTTTTCGAGTCTTGTGAATTCATTTATAATTAAATAGGAAACTATGGTTTTTCAGCTGAATATTACATATTCCTTGGGGTCACAGTGGAATTCAACATTTTGCTAATTTCCCAACAGAAATTTCTTGTCTCCATAATGTTTCAATTCACCTGCTCAGTGTTTTTGCTGTGGAAATTAACTGAGGGCTGTTTTAATACAGCATCAGGATTTTGTAATGATCATTTGTATTCCTTTCACAAACATTTGCCTAGTTTGTCTAAAATTACTCACGGACTGCTGGTAGAATGAACAATGACACCAAGTTAATACCGCAGAAAAAAAGGATCTATGTTCTCAAGGAACTCATTTTCTATTTAGGGTGCAAAATTAACATGTTAACAGGCAAAAATTGTGGTTTAACAGTAATCATAAATTACGCTTAAGCCTGCAATTTGTGTCAGACATATCTATTATCTTAATGGTGAGCTATTGCAATGCACTGTTTTTCAAATATTTCATTTTGGATATTAACCGCAACATATAATTCACCCAGTAGTATAAATTTTGTTCTGAAAAGTTTTCAAAATTTATGCTGCTGGGTGAATTGATAAATTCTCTTGACTTTATACAATCTATTCCAATGCTTTTGGTCAACCTTTGATGTTATAGATCCCAAGTAACTTATGTCAGGCATCATCTCCTGTCCTGGTAATAAGAGGGCGATCCAGAAATCATTGCAGTCATACTTTACTAACTAAAGGATTTTTTTTTATCCATTTGGAGAACCACCAGCTCCCCAAGGCTCCGTTTTAGGTTGCTTCTAATTTACTTTTCATATAAAACCTTAAAAAAATATTTGACCATTGCTGCTAAGCCATTGCCTGTGGTTATATCTAAATTCAGGTGCTGCGTAATTACTTTAGGGATTTACAAATATGGATGGTAATAAACCTACTTAACCTGAACATGAATAAAATGTAATGGCTTATATGATAGCAGATTAATTTTATCATTTGGAAACAACATTTGTGTGACAGTGCCTTTAAGTGTGAGAGCTTTACTCAATGGTTAAAATGAGCTTTTTCCTGCTCAGTTCAACATTTATTCACATTACTGAGTTAGTCATGGTTTCATTACATCTCTGTTGATTTACTGTAATTCTCTGTCAGATGGTTTTGATCATTTCTCACTTAAACTGCAAAAAGCTGTTCAAAATATGCCGTGGCTGTAAACCATCAGTAAAGAAACGACATGATCTCATCAAAGCTGCTACGGCCTCTTCAATCCAGCTTCCTGTCCATTTAGTGATCCAGTTGAAAATGTTATTGAATGCATTTGGGAGTCTTCAAAGTATGGTACCACCAGATTTATATTAGTTTGTGTGTGCATATACTGCAGCCAGAACAACACATCAAGTGTTATTGAACATTTCTTAATTCAAATTTAAAGGTAAAATGACAGCGCCCAACCTGAAATTGCTAGTTTTAATCTTGACCTCACTGTACTATATCCTTTCAGAATTTTGCAATGTACACCATTCATATTTTTATGGAAAAATTTATTTATTTTTTTTTGTTTTGCTTTTCAATTTGCTACTGATTTTATTTGTGCAGAAATTCTGTGATCCACTGTTTCAAACACGCTATGAAAATAGACTTATGATTGGTGAAATACACAAATGACGATTGCAACCCATTTACAAAATATGTAATAAAGGCCATAACTTTACTGCTTTTATCCACTGAAAATAATTTTCAATGTTAAATTTATCTTCTTTCCTCCCACCCCAATGAATAACATCAAGAACACCCGCTGTGATCCCACTTTGCTTAAGGAGTAGACAAGATGCAAGAACTACACACAAAATGAATTCAGTACATTTATTTTTTTTTAACTGAGTCATTGCACATTTACTTAAGTGCAGAGTAGTACTCAATGTAAAGCTTTAGAAAATACAATCTCAGTCATCTCTGATGTGATTGTGGTGCTTCATGTGAATCCCTTGAAAAATAAAATACATTAGATGACAAGAAAACCACTCTTAGCAGTGTACTTTGATAGATCTGTAAAGTAAACACTGAGAAACAGGGCAGCATAACTGGTCAGTGTTAAAAGATTTATATCATTCATTCATATTTAGGTAGTGTAACTTTTCAAAATAAATGTACATTTCCCTTTGTCTGTGTAAACACAGTGGTGGGTTTTATTTTTTTAACCCATCTCTTTAAACATCATAGACTGACATACTGCACTGCCCTTGAGAGAAGAGCAGGAATTGCCATCCAACTGTTGGCACCTGAATTATCCAAAACCCCACTTTTGAGCTGCAGCTTTCTTTGTGCATCGCATATTCATGTCCCCTATTCTTCCTTTCGGAAATAGCTCCATAGATTTACAATAACTCTTTCAAAAATAAAAAAATAGGTTGGTTCATAAACTGTACACAATACCAAAAACAATGTGCTTTTATAATTTTTTAAATATAGTGCCGAGTTCAACGTTCCCTTCTTTGCACAAGATCCTTTACTTCCTTAAGTGAGCTGTTGTCACAGGATTCATCATGGAAGCCTCTCCCCATGGAGCTTTCGATGTCTGTGTCTGCCGTTCTTCTCCTTGGCCGAATTGACACAGGCATTGTGCTTGTTGGTCTGCAAATGGTTCCAGTACTTGATGAGTTCATTGGGCTGAAACTGATGGGATGTGATCAGGTGGCTGTACTTGCAACTGGAATAAGAGACGCGCCAATGGTTGAAGAGGAACTCATTGGGAGGGGGTGCAGGGTCAATGCGTAACTTTGCCAGGCAGATCCCTACATACACGTCCTCCAGATGCAGCCTGCGTATGCTTAGCGAGGCCTGATAGATCAACTCGGCCATGTCCCCTGAGAACACGTACCCCGTGCCTGAGCAAAATATTGGGTAGCGCTCGCTTGGATAAAGCTCTGGTGGCATGTACCACTTACTGTCCTTGTTTCGGTTTGGTGCATAGCCCCTCATTAGATAGCCTGTAAAATACTTCTGTTTGGGGGGCAATTCGGGTTTTAGCAGCTTTTGGATGAGATACTCTGTATTGATGAACATGTCACTGTCCGTCTTCATCACATAGGAGACGAGTGGGCAGTAGGTGGCTACCCAGTTCATGCCCATCAAGGTTTTGGTGGTTAGGTTGTAGTAGGTGTCCCGATAGTCCTGTTGAATGATATCATGGTAAACACGGCTCTCTTCTTCAATGCTACTTTGAAGGAAGGCATCTGAACTCTTTCCTGTGCCAAGAAGAAAAAGTCGGACGAATCCCAGGCCTCCTGCTACACTCTCATTTCCCCACGTCTGCCGGATTGCGTTGCGTGCATCGGCCTGTCTAGGCTCAGCAGCAATGAGGAGGATGAGGAAGGGCGTACTGTCCCTGCACTTGAAAGGCTCATTCAGGATGTAGCGGTAGGGCTGAGCACTAAGCTTCTCCCCAACATCCATCTCCTTCTGTAAACTGTTGTTAGAGCTCATGGAGTCCCCAAGCCCCACGATGGCCGTCCTGGATCCTCCTCCAGCTCCTCCTCCTCCTCCTGGCTCAGCTGCTGTTCCCTCTGTCTGTTGAGAGCTGAGGTTGAGAAGAGGCTTTGGCGCGCCATACCCTGTCTCCTTCCACAGGCTCCTCAGGGAGCTGCTCTGGTTGGCCTCTCCCTTGGGAGCCCGGAGACCCCTGATGGTGTAAGCCAGCGGGTAGTCACGAGGCCCACTGCGCCCTGGCAGCCATTCCTGGTGGCTGAAAAACAGAAAGACTGTAAAGAGAAGAGCCAGGGAGAGCAGACCAGCCACATGTGTCCGAAACAGGGAACGTTTGATGGTCCAGGTCATCTTGATGGAACACAAGTGCCGACGTCTCCACTGCATGATGCAGATTGGGGTTGCGAGACACTGCTCCTTCTCGAGAATGGGCGGTGGTGGTCACATGCAGTCACCTCAAACATGTGGTTGCCAACAATCAGAAGGTTATCTGAGCTGGCAGATGGGTTGGAGCGAGGCTCCTGGTGGAGTCAAGGGAACAGTTGAGCCCCTAAGTGTAGCTTGAAGCAAGGTTGAAAGGGCTCCTGGTGGAAAGAGGAAGGCGGCTATTCTTTCACCAGCGACGCTTCTCCTTGTCTTCTTTGGCACTTCAGACAAACAGGGTCACGTACTGGGTCTTGTCTTCTTCAGGTTATAATAAGGGTCACCTCCTCTGTGTCTGCTCCCTATAATTTAAAAACAGAGAGAAAAGAAACTGAGGAAACATTCTGCAAAAGACTTCCTTTATTCACTGGCACTGTGCGAAGTGTCAATTATTTTAGCTCCAACTATGCTTTATTTTTCTTTTTACTGTTAAATTTGTCAGACTTGTTTCAACACAAATAATCTGAATTAATTTTGTCCAGATGGAAGAGTTCCAATTAAAGCTTTTTATAGATACATAGCCTAATATATTTTATTGTAAGACGATTTAACACTTTGAAAAGAAAATTTTTAAAAATATTAAAGCACCGTAGCATATTTGATTAGACAGGGATGAAAAACACAGCATGGGCCTGTAGCTTGTTGATAGAAGATTAATAAAACATGACAAACACATTCATGCCAATGCAAAACAAATAAAAAAGGAAAGAAAAGGGAAACCGTTCAAAAAGGAACGCTAACAGATCAATTAAATCAGTTTAGCATTTTAAAATCTCACAGCAAATAAGTTAAATAGTCAAAAATGACTAATGTTCTGAAAATGTATTGAAATGCAAAAACCTTGCAACCAGTGGATAGTAACATTGTGACTCCTTTTTGCATACAATTACTGGGCTTAAGGCCAAGGGCTTACAGATAAACTATGGTTTTGCTCAATGTGGGGCCGACTAAACTTGCTCTAAACTACATAGGCTGCTGAGTGTCATCAGCCCCCCACCACACATCAGCAGCAAGAGAGGAAATGCATCTGTCAAAATGAGTTTTCAGGGTCCAGCAAGCAGTGGAGCTGCACCCCAAGCCAGCCTCTGGCGATGACAGCCACTGCTTGTCATTCACCTTCAGCCTATCAAGGCTTCGTACGGTCTTGTTGGGATCAACCGGGATGCTCAATCTTCGAGGACACAAAGGCATGAATACAGAACATGCAGGGAATTATGCACACATGCAGACACACAAATACAGAAGAGTGTGGATAAAATGCAAATGATTGTGCCTGGTGCCCACCAGAGAGTTGTCCACTGAGACAGACATACTGCCGGTCATGTTCAGTCTTCACTGATTCAGAATGTCACTAAGCCAAACAAGCACAACATTTACTGTGCTCTGCATTCATGAACACAAACATGCCAACAGATTCGTGGTCCAACAGGCTTTTTTGCCTAATTACAACGAACAGCACTTACTTATATCCAGACTATGTATGTAAATCATCTCTGTTACTGGCTGCAAGAGAAACGGTTGTGATTTTGCAATATTTCTGGGAATACTAAGATTTAATTAGCATAAAACAATTTGATCCAGATTTGACTAGTTCATATGCTGTATTTATTTCCCTTGCTTAATTCTAAGGCACAGGTGTCAAACTCGAGGCTAGCGTATCAATGGTGGTCTGCATGTAAACAACCGTTTATTTGCCATGACGTGAGCTCAAAGTGGGACACTACAGCTAGCTAGGATTGTTTTAAAGATAATGATAGAAAACTGACTTAAAAACAGGTCACTCCAAAAAAAAAAAAAAAAAAGCTGAAGATACCGGTGGAAAGAAAACACCTTCAGGACTACTAATGTGATCAGAGGAAGCTAATTCATAGCTGCTGAGTGTTGATGTGTTGTTCACTAGCGAGTGGATTCCTTTGAATGGTTAGCAGTAGGAATCGCTCCAGTTAGACAGAACTGTTCTTTGTTTAATGAGAAGTTTCATCAATAGATTCTGACACAACGGCCCTTTCAGGACTTTCATGAATTTGATGTGATTTAACAAGAAAAAGAGTTTGACGCCCCTGTTCTACTGTGCTCCTAATCCCAAAACATTATTCATGGTGCTCTCTTTCTGAGTTCTCAGTATTCTAAATCTCACATTATGTTTCAAAGGTATGACAAGGAAATCTCAGTGAATGTTTTCTACATGACAGAAAGGAAGTTTTTCTACTATGGTCATAAGCTAATTTTTCATCAATGGCACTTAGTTGGTTGTTTTTTGTTTTTTTTAATACACTTAGTGGTCTTAAACTTCACTACATCAGCTCACAGAGACATTTTTAAAATGTTGTCTGGTTGTATTTATTTTGTCTTTTGCTTCTATTTCTTATTTTTATCATTCGGAGCTCAACTTACAGTTGGTTATAAGCCAGTGGCGTGTGCGAGTATTTGTAACATTTTTCATTGTCTCACAATTTTGATGGGGAGTGTTTAAAAGTCAAATAAATGTTAGACAGAAATATAACCCTAATATTAACATATTTTAGCAGCAGTAGGAAAAAAGTGATGTTTGAGGGGCAGAGGGAGCATTTAGTGCAAATATTTTATCGACCTAGTCAGAGAATGATTTCCAAAACTTCCTGTTTTAATTTCCTGTTATGTTTGCTCATTCATCATGACAACTGACAAGGAACACGATAACCTTTTCAGGCGAGTGTGCTTACCCAGTGAAAGCAATTACAGGGGAATGAGAAGGGCCAGGGCAAGCTTTGTTTTAAAGGTTAACATACTTTACATCGGAGCACATTGAGCGCTTGAGAGATTTCTGCTGTCAACCAAATGAACATCTAGTTACACAAACTCTTATCAGGAGAACACACATGGAGGCACACATGGATATGAGTGCAGAGAAATACACAAGGAATAGACGCCCCCCTACGTGCTGGCGCCCACCCAGCCCACAGTCATTCATGAATCGAATTTGTCTAGTTGTTCTCAGCATAAATGCAAATTTCAGGATCATCAGGGATCCATTTTTACTTTTAAACAGTACTATTTAGTGGGCCAATGCCTCTCCTCATTAATTCATTTTCTTGCCTCCCATCAATGTCACTTCTATGCAGGCCAATTAGTTACACCAGTGCTAATTAAAGCCCCAGCGATTCTGCAGCGGTCAATAATCAGAATGAAGGCTGTGGGAGTGGCGGACTGGTGACATTATTAGGCGTGCATCAGTGCTGTCACTAGATCAGCTTCAAACCTGGAGGTAAAAATAGAGATGAGGGGTGTTTGCTTTGTTTCGATTTCATCACAGGAAATATGCAAAGAGCATGGATGCAAAACAAGCTTTTGCAATGCTAATGTATGCATGACACTCAGTAAAAACATTCCATTTCATATTAGTGACACATTATCCTGAAGAAAAGTACTGCTCCCATTTATAAGCTATTTAGAGCAGCTTCTCGTTGAAGATAAAGGTTAAAATCCACTTTATTGAAAAAGCTCTGACTGATATGGCTGACTGAGGATCTCGTCTTACCTAATAACGCTATCCAGAAGCAGCAGTCCTCAGTGAACCACAACATGTTTGATTTATTTTCATTCTGATGTGTTGTTGTAGCACTTGCCGTTTAGAGTCAGAAAAGCACAAATTTCATACATGAAAGGAAACATAACTGTATACCTCCTAAAGATAAGAAAAATGTTGTGGGAAAACAAGATACATCTCTCAGTTAAACGATTTAAAAAAAATTATTTGATCATTATAGTTTTGTCTTTAAAATGATACATGCAATTGAAAAATGATAGTTCATTTAACCTTCAATCAACCGATTAAGTCCTAAAATATCTAGATTCTAAAATCATCAAAGACGAAAAGAAGTCAATCCTTATTAACTATTAACACCTTTGTAACCTCTATTTGAAATGCATAATTTTTAAAATTGTATGCTTTTTTTGTCAAGAAACTATCCAATTATTTAACATCAAACCCTGTGTGTGTTTGAAGTTCATTCTTTTAGTTCCTCCTATTTGTAGACAATTAAAAGACCAGTTTTACATTCATCAACAAAAAAGCCATGATCTAAAACTGCAGCAAGACTCAGAACTGGGACAAAAAAGGAGCTTACATTACTATTTAAACTGTCTCTTCTACTAGACGTCTGTTCTTTAGAAAATTCCAGTTTTAAGTCTTCAAACCAGTCAAGTCCTTTGATTTTACGTTGTCTTTAGATATTTTAATTGTATACAAAAGCAGCTCAAGACATTCTTACTAAAACACTTTTCCTTGAGGTCTTAAATATTTCATGTTTAGTTTTAATAATCTATTATTCAATTGTTTTTTCCCCTCTTATATTAAATCTTATTCCTCTTTGAAGATTTTTCATCTGTGAGGTGCTACACAAATTTATTTACCACTGCTTGCAAACTGGGTGGAAAGTGGGAATGTCATGGTTGCACGCAACCATGGCATTTCTCTTCTCTTGCTCAGACATGTTTTGTCTGTTTCATTCAGCACAGAAGCTGGCTGTTAGAGATGTATCTATTACTGATTTTATAAAACCAAGTTCTATTTTAGCACTAATTTTTAGTTAATACATTTTTTAAACCACTAAGTGGTACCTGAGTTACTTAAACCTCTGGGTTCACCGAGTGGTCTTCAAACTCAATGACTGAGCTGATTCAGCGCAGATGTGAGCTGAAGGTTGTGAAAGTAAAGCAGGGATATCTCAACAATCACAAGATAAATTTCACTGGAATTTGGAAATTACAAAATGTGAAACAAAGGCTTTTTGAAGATGTTTTTGTCTTCACCATCTACAAGGAAATAACCAAAAGCCTAGTGGATGTGGCTAAGAAAGTAATTTTTACCTTTATGTTTTTAGGGTTCAAATGGTCTGGTTTGTTTGTTTAACATCAATAACAAAGGCCAAGGGTCTGGTTATACTCAGCAGGAAAGCCAAAACATAAATCCAAACTAAATTGGTTATATATATATATATACAATATTGAAGAGAAACTCAGGCAACTTCCTTCAAACCTTCACAATAAAAGCCAAAACATCAAATATCACTTTTCAAACAGAGTTTAGATCAGGCCCATGGAGGACGTGGCCAAACCCGCTCCAACCCATTCAGCTCCCATCGTAAATCAACCACTTCCATGTTTTTAAAATCTGCTACAATAATGGTTGTACTGTTACAGTTATCTGCAGTAGCTTCCTACGACCTTCGTCCAGTAAAATAAAGAAATGGATGACATCCATTTATGTTACTGACAGTTTAGTCAAACTCAAAGCACATTTCATTTTAAAAGGTAAACTACACCATCAACCAGGTAACTGGAAATAAAAATCTGCTATAAATGACGGAAAGAAAACTGCGTGTGTGCCAGAAGATGATCATACAGCTCACACACAGCAGAAAACCAGATTCTGTCCTCGAGGAGAAATACTGGGCACTTTGCAACAACGAACCACATTCAGCACAACTTCCTCAGATTTTAAAAAGCCAAGCTCAAAATTTGCAGAAATCTTTCTGACTTCAAGTATGGGCGAAGTTGACCATTTGTTTATTTAAAGGTCCCCATTAGTTTCTACTATAGCAGAGACTATTCTTCCTGCAGTCCACACCACAGACATTATAATGAAAACATATGTTGACAAACATCACAAATCCAAGTTTCTTGCTCCGGCTCCATTGCATTGAAGTGAAAACTCAAGTTCTTTGATACCGAAACTCAGTTTTTATAACCTCAAAGAAAGGCGTGTCATAAAAATCTGTTTATGCACCACGATTTAATCTTATCCTGCTTGCATAAAACATTCCTCTGTCTATACCTGCCTCAAGGACAATTACAATGCAGGTAAAGGATCCATGTCTCTGTTGTGAAAACATTTTGTACTGTGTGCGGTCATGTGGATCAACAGTTCCGTGTATATTTGAGTTAGATTAAAACTCAAATATGCCAGAGGATAAAAGGATTAGTTGAGCTTAAACCATCAACTTCCATCTTCAACGTTATGATTGTCAGGTATTCAAAACAATCATCTGGTTTAAATGATCAACGTACTGTAGATTTACAGGCTTCCAGTCCCTTAAGTGTTGCCGAGCAAACTATTGAAACGTCAACGCAACCCTTTAACTGTGGATATCGGTCAGATGTGGGTTGGCCACAAGAGCCCGTTTATTATAGAACACTGCCATAAGGTGACAAAGGGTCAGTTGACCCAAATAACAAAAGCAGTGGTGTTATCTCATGTTTGAACGGCTCTGGGTTAATACCGAGTCAAACCTTCCAATGGAGGGCGAGGAGACAGGATTTGTTTTGTTTCTGTGAACTTCTAATAAATATTCCTCCCATTAACACCATTTGAGAGGAGTTGTGATCATATGTAGGGCTGCAAACGTTTAGGGATAAGTGAAATATTGTTGAATTCTGTAATATTACTTGAGTTGACCCCATATGTTCTGTTTTCTTTTCCCCACCAGACCATCTCAGTCAGAAAGATCATCCAAGCAGTGCTTTATGTCCAACACTTTGAAGACGCACGGACAATCGTGATTCGATACATCCTACTGTTCAAATTTTATTGGATTTCAAATGTTGTTTAGAATAAAAACTGGATAATCAAATTTACTGTTATTATTGTTGCTAAAGAAAATTATTTTAGCAACAGACTAATGGAGCCTAAATTAGGCCATTTAAAGTCTAAACTGAGAAGGTTGACATAATGACATTACAGACATAACATTTAGTCAGCTCCCATAAATATAGTCCCTGTTGCCTCTAGTCTACAAGAAAAAAACACCAAAATCTGTATTTTATGTAAAAGCGTAAAATGAATGCATTTAAATACTTGACTTTTTAAAAAGAAGACTGAAACATTTTAAAGCTGGGCATAAAAATAAAGAGGACCTCTGAGAAACAAAGGTCTGGCATACAAGCAGAATCATTGTTGTGATAAGGTTCTTTCTACTAGGGAAGCAATATTCACCTCTTCCAACTTTTTCTCCCTTACTCTTGTTGCACCCTTAAGCCAGGCAGTGCATCATGGGGTTCTTTATCTTAGGTGGACAAGGACTCTAGATGAACAAGAAATTTTGACATAAATTCACAGATTATTGCAAGCAATTCTCAATCAATTACAAAGCAAAGTGTTACGATACAGAGAATCTGTCACCGTTTTTTGGATGAGCCAAAACAAGCTGCAGACCAGGAACCGAATCGCAGTTCTTATCCTCTACACTGCATCTCCTCTAAGGGGTGTCATCCTAAAACCATAAGCCTCAGCAGTGTTCAGGGGTTGGGTGTGTGTGTGAGCTTGCACCCGTTAGTGGGAGTGCAGGCTAAAACCTAATTCCTCTATGACGATAAAACTATATTTGAACTAATATCAAAAGGTTAAACTTACAGCAATTAAGCTAAAGGGAAAAAGTTTAATCAAAAGCTATAATACTAACACTTTAAATGTCAGAATTACATTTTAAAGCAGTTCAAACTCTTTGCATAAAAGTTTTCACAAAAGTGAGAGGTCAAGGACTAATGGTTGGGAAATTAAGCCCCATTAACGTGTCACAGTCTGGTGGTGCAGAATGAATACCCAGATGGTGAGGTTAGCATCTGTTTCTTCTTTTTTAAGCCACTTCCAGCATCGTAAAGAATGTAGAGACTTGGGTGCCAACTAGATCAGGCAGCTTGGCACAATGAAGTGGACATAAAGCTCCCGAAATCAATGTGATCGATAAGAACTCAATGGCTTTGCCTCTTGGCAGGAATATGTAGTGGGCTCCAAAACTGGAATGTGTGCAAATGAACGCAAAACAAACTGACCTCTATTTCACATTCTTTTTTCTTTTTTTAAAAATAAAAAAATTCCACAATAAGAAAATAAAGCAGGAAGTAAATTATTTCTTACTAAACAAAGGTCCACCTATCCAAAAGTCTAAGGGCTGCTCTGTCAGTGTAACATTTTAAGGAGCCACAAAGTGATAAAGCGGAGGTAAATGATGTTGAGTCAAAGGTGGGCTAAATGGAGAAACTGATTGATGGGTTCATGGATCCCAGTCAAGGCAGCCGAGGAAAGGTGGATGTAATGGAGTGGAGAGGAAGGAGGGGATGGCTAAATGAATAATGAGGATGTGGAGAACCGACGGGACGTGCAACGCTGCGTACCTCCTCCACCTCATGCTGCGGCTGCTGACAGGGCTGCGGTCGGCGCACGGGTGAACTGAACCCCGGTACTCTCACCCGCCATCACCGCCTCTTCTGACCGGGACTTCAGTTGTGCCCTCCGTCCTCCGCCTCCCTTTTCGCTAATTGCACAGTCACCTTAGATGTGGAAACGACCCTCCTGCTCCTCATGCCAGCAGAACCTCAAGTAACCTGCGGGGAATGTTTTTATTTTTATTTTTTATTTTTTTGTTCTCCTCCTGGTGCGACTCCCTTTTACCCCTCTTCTCTTCCCAGGGTCCGTTATATAATTCTTTTTTCAAATGCACATTTCTTGCTTTACGATGCAGTTCCCAGTTGTTTCCTTGATCTTATCCAAGTTTGTCCTCCTCTACAGAGACGTTCTTGTCATTTAAAAATGAAAAAGCGTCCCCGCACTTTCATCTGGAGCCAAACCGCTGGAAGGAAACGCAGAGCGGCGGCAGAGCTGCAGGTATGCGGCTGCTGCTCCACGATGCTGAGCCCGGCTGCTGTGCAGTGTATTCGCAGTGAAACGCGATGGATGAAAATAGAATTATAAAAAAATAAAATAAAAAATCAGCTCCACCTCTGAGTCCCGTCACAGTTGAAACATGTACCCCGACTCCTAGAGGGAGAACAAAAGCAATAACTCATCTACCTTCAGCTCCTGGCTGTGACTGGACACTCCGCTTCTTCTCCTCTGCAGAAGCATTCTTCTGATACGTCTTGGACCGACCCCGACCCCTGCCGGATCTCTCATCCAGCCGAGACAGCTGCTGGCCCGTGAAAGCTGTCTGTCAGACACCGCTACACTGACGGTGCTCGACGGCGTCACAGCACTCTTAGAGGAGCATCTCACGTGACCCAGTTACTCTGTAATGAGACGTTCAAGGGGTATTGGTGAAAAATTCATGGTGCTGCCAGAACTCCAAAAATATTTCAACTTTATATTGAACCTGAAGTAATGTTATTGTGGGAAAAAGACAACTTCCGTTTGCACTGCTGTTTTAAAAACTCATCTGAATTTATACGGACTCAGATTTAGGTGAGAGAGTGGATGTGAAAAGTCTGGGAAATGATTTGAAAATTGAAGTATAGTCTACTTACAGAGCTGTCACAGTCCAGTCATCGACTGGCGGTGTCTTGCGACTTTTTAATTTATCCAGTCAAACATGCCTCAATCAAATAAATACTTCGTCATGCGCTCATGTTGCACAGAGCCCCGATCGTGACCTACCGAATTTTCCGGACTGTAGAGTGCACCTCTACAGTCCGGTGAGGTGCACTCCGGACTGTAGAGCGCTACAGAGCCGCATCTACAAAGCCGCAACTTTGTAGATGCGGCTTTGTAGATGTAGCCGCATCTACAAAGATGCGGCTTTGTAGATGTAGCCGCATCTACAAAGTTTTTTTGTTTTGTTTTGTTTTTTTTTTTGTATTAAAAGAACTGGAAACTACAAGCCGCACCGGGCTGTAAGCCGCTGGTATCTCCGCCGCTCTCGGTTTTCCACAAGGACATAGCCCTTTTTCTAAATGAAAATTAGCGCTTTCTTCTTTGATTTTCAATTTTGACTTCCAATGATTCACTTCCTGCTGAAGAGCCCCATGGCGGCTGAAGAAAAATCCACAGAAAATCCGCACTTGGTTACAAGCCGCATGGTTCAAAGCATGGGGGGAAAAAGTAGCGGCTTATTGTCCGAAAAATACAGTAACTATGTTCCAGACAGTGACGTGCGGTCAGGGGAGGTAGGTGAGGCAGAGTCTCACCTGTCATCATGGAAAAATAACATATAATAGTAAAATCATTTATAAAGATATTTATATTTTCATCCTGTGGTTTGTACTATAAAGTACCTATTTTTCATTTAATTTAACGAAATCTGATTTTTTTTT